GCCTTTTCTGAGGCCGCGTCATGGCGGCGCTTCTCACCGAGAGGCGACTGCGGCTGACTTTTGGTGCCCTGCTTGTGTTTGTGAGCGGAGATTATAACAATGGCACCAAGAGAGTGTACCTTTGGTTCGGCATGGCCGTTGGAAGCTTCTGGGGTGGGCACTGTGATGGGAGCGGGAGTGGGAGTAGTGGCTTCGACAGGAGCTGCTGGAGGTTGTGAGGGCGTAGACTGTTGGGGTGTCACTGCCTTCTCAGATCGGGCATCCGGCTTGACGTCGCTGGCGCGAGGCTTGGGTTTGGAGCCCTTCTTGCGCGCCCACGGCCTCTCGCCACGGGCCATGGCAGCCAACAATTCAACATGGTCTTCGGGTTTGCATTGCTCGCAGTAGTAGTCTTTACCCTCCCAGAAATCGCCCTCGGGTAGGCCCAGACACTTGTTGTGTTGCCAGGCTGTACAGCTGTCGCAACAGATCATTTGCCGTCCGCGAATGTCGCGCTGGTCACCGCACACACAGCGGATGATGGCGTCCTCCTCTTCCTCATCGTCGTCCTCTTCATCTGCGTCGGCCGATTGCGTCGACCGAGCGCGCTGAGAGGGACCCTTTGCATTTCCTTTCTTGCTATGGGCTTGTCCTTTCTTCTCAGTTGCTGGGGTTGCCTTTGACTTTGGGGCGGCTACAGGAGCAGCAGCAGGAGTAGCAGGAGCAGCGGGAGCGGCAGCAGCGGGCTCGTCGAGCGCGTCTTGGTTCTTTGTATGGTGGCCTTTGTTGGCGCGGCCGGAGCGCCTGATTTCATCTGTGGCAGCGGTATCAGCATCAGCATCGGCATGAGCATTGGCATGAGCATGCAGCTCAGAGGCTGTTGTGCACGCGCGTGCGGTGTGCGGGGTGCGCGACGAGGAGCTGGTACGGGCGCGTGTAGATGGTGTCTGCTTACCGGACATGGTGGTGGACACGGGTGATGGGCTTCAAAGAATAGATGATACCACGAATGCAGCTTATGCTATGTGCGCAACAAGATTCAAAGAAAAAGTCTCTACGGAAGCCCCAATCCTGCCCTGCGCGTGGCGTGGCGGGCCAGCGGACACGCCGTACGAGCCGGCTACTAACTAGTCAAAGAGAGAGCAACAAGTATCCCGCCTGCTTGTACAGACTGGAGCCGCGATGCGAGACGAGCCTGCCGAATATGAGTCGCAGCTTTCTCGTGCGCGTGTCTCCCGTGGACGGAGCCGACGGCGCACCAGCAACCGGCGCGACAGAGACGACAATGGTGGATGGGAAGATGCCCCTGGTGTATGCGCTTGTATCTGAGCGCAGTATGAGGCAGCAGGAGATGGTGAATGGATTGCCGGACAGAGGCGCGGTGTGTCGTGTGGTGTCGGGATGGGTGGTGTCAGTGAGGAGACAGTGGAGTGGAGCTTGGACGCTGCGTTTTGCCGACGTCTTGGCTGCCGTAATCCCAGCCACTAGTAACAACCTGGACCCTTTGCGTGGCTGGACAAGCTGGACAAGCTGTTTTGTTGAAGCGCGACAGGACTGTACCAAACCACGCCGATTGATAGCAATCCGACTGCTTCATCTGCCACCGTAGACTCTGCAACCAACCCCCGGCAAACAATGGCCGACGCCCGAACCCTCTTGCGACAACAACGTGCAGCACGCCAGCAAGCCCAGAAGCCCCAAAAACAGTCTCAGGCACCCGCAGCAGCACCAACAGCGAAGAAGCGGAAGGCTCCTGACCAGGGCGGAGAGGAGAAGAAGCGTACGCGAACCGAGGAGGAGGCGGGCGTTCCGGCCGGTTTCTTCGATGCGGGCGCGACAAATGACGACGACGACAATGACCCAGTCGCGCCTGGCCCAGTAGAAGAGAGCCCGGTAGTGGCAGACATTCCACCCCCAGAGCCTCCGGCGCCTGTAGACCCGCCGCTGGACGCTGCGGCACAAGCAGAGCTGGACGCCTTCATGACCGAGATGAGCACAGAGAAGCCGACCCCACAGCCGGCCAAGTCCGCCTATTCAGGTGCCGTCATAGAAGCAGCACCCATGACAGCTGCCCAGCTCGCCGCCCAAGTACGAGAAGAACAAAGTGCACAACGCGCCAAGAGAGACGAAGAAATGGAAGGAGAGAAGGAAGATGCTGCGCGGGCCCTTGAGGACGAGTTTGAAGAGATGGAAGGACTCGAGGAGAGGGTCAAGAGGTTACGGGAGCAGAGAGAGGCATTGCGGACGGTGTCTGGACGGCCAGGTGATGTACCAAACCAAGAGCCGACAGCCCCTCAGAATGAAGAAGACGAAGAAAGCGAGTCGGAGGATGAGGACTGGGACGACTGGCGGTTCCGCCCCGCATAAGCATTGTTGCTGTGTGTAGTCAGCAAAGTAAAGTAATTAGCGGTCAGCGCATGTATTATAGTATAGCATACCACATTGGCGATACCCGGGGCAGGCGTTTACAAGCACTAATCCAATGACTTCTTTCTAACAGGGCAGTCCCTGTTATGACCAATTCGCCCATGATTCAATATGTGGATCGCCCAGCAACCAGTTACTGCTCAAAATGTGGTACCCATAGGCAGAGGGTATACAAGTAATTCTGGTCACATAGGAGGGGTGGTGGCATGCCGTGCCAAGCCGAGCGTCATTGTTAGGGCACACCAAACGCTTCAGGCACGAATGAAACAGCCCAATCCCCACTCAACCACCCTCGACATTGACACGTGCACTCGCGAGATACTGCTTTTCTTCCACCCTACCACGCGCCGACTCTACGATTCCGCAATACGCACCTAGTCTCCGCACACAACCACCTACCCCACAATGTCACGACGGCCCAACCCTGCCGCCGACCGGGCGGAGCAGAATCGCGCCACACTGAAGAACTTGGTAAAGCTCGAAGGCAACAAGACATGCTCAGACTGCAAACGGAACAAGCGTAAGAACAGTGTGCCATTGTGCCCTGCGCCCGCTAACACTCTCGCAGACCCACGATGGGCAAGCTGGAATCTAGGCGTCTTCATATGCATTCGATGTTCGGGCATACACCGCGGCATGGGAACACATATCAGCAGGGTCAAGTCGGTTGACCTAGATACCTGGACTGATGAACAACTTGAGAGTGTATTGAAATGGGGAAATGCGCGAGCCAACAAATACTGGGAGTCGAAATTGGCACCTGGCCACGTTCCATCCGAGGCCAAGATTGAGAACTTTATCCGTACAAAGTATGAATCGAAGCGCTGGGTCATGGATGGGCCCATGCCGGATCCTTCCACTCTGGACAGTGACGATGATGATATGGTTAGTATGCGCAAGCCACCTTGAAGACGAAGACTAACAGCAATCCTAGCCATTGAGTAAGGTGCAGGAGAAGGTACAAATAGAACGCTCAGCCTCGCAACGCCTGGCACAAGGATCCGGCCGTGCCCCGCCTCCTCAGCGACAAGCACAACAGCAGCCTGTTATCGACCTTTTTGGAGATGATCCAGTTCCCGAGCGACCGAGCACTGGACCGCCAGCTGCTGCACGACCGCCTCCAAAGGCAGAACCAGCGCCCCCGAAACAGCACAAAGCAGGAGATTCATTGTTGGGCCTTGACTTTCTCGGGGGAGGATCTTCTGCTGCACCTGCTCGTCCATCCAGCACAGGTCCTGCTGCTGCGGCAGCGCCCTCAAGACCAGATCTCAAGCAGTCGATCTTGTCTCTGTATGCTGCAAAGCCCGCGGCAGCGCCTCAGCCACAACAGCATGCTCGTCAAGACTCTTTCGGTGGACTCGTGTCGTCCCAGGGACAGGCATCACCACAGCAGTCATCGTTTGGCGGTATGAACGATGCATTCAGCAGCTTGTCTTTCAACGCTGCTCCCGCCCCCAAGCCTTCACCATTTTCTGGTCTGGATAGCTTCTCAAGCAAAAAATCACCACCCGCGTCGTCGTCGTCTTCCAACATGTTTGGCGGCGGTGGCAACTTTTTCGACTCAAAGCCTGCTCCACAGAGTCGTACCATGAGCCCTGCTGGAGGAGCAAACAACTTCAGTGCCTTTTCTTCGCCTGCGCCATCCAAGCCTGCAGCTCCGGCGGCGTCTGGTATGGCCGACCTCCTCGATCTCTCCATGCCTTCCGCGCCTGCACCACAAGTCACCTCTCCGCCAATAGCATCGCCGCCTGTCAACTCGGCATTCAACCTCTCTTCACCCGCGCCTGCTCCTGCTACAAAGTCCACGCCCGCTGCACCAGCAGTCAACTATTCAGGGTTTTCAAACATGGATGCCTGGGGTGGTAATGATGTCTGGGGATCGTCCGCGCCTAGCCAGCCTGCAGCAACCACTACCACGGCCCAAGCAACAACAACTAGCTGGAGTGCACCTAAAGTGACACAGGACGACGACTTTGGAGGTTGGAGCAGTGCCGCGCCCACCACGACGTCCAACACTACCACTACCCAAAGTAAGCCTGCAGGAGGATTTGGTGGCACGAGCGATGATTTGTTCTCCAATGTTTGGGAGTAAATTGTCATATACTGAGAAGTTTGTACGAGCTATTGCACTCACGATTTGAAAATTAATGCCGAATCGAGAGCGTAATATGCATGGCATACATAATTGCTTATAGAAATCTTTTGAACTTGCATATCAAAAAAAGATGAAATGCTCCGATCGCTTTCCCTTGCAGTCATGAACGCCGCATATGCAAGGGATTGACTGACATGTTCCATGTCCCCGTCCCAATAACAGAAAATCAACAAGCATGATGAATCATGCTCCCCTTTGCCCTCGCCCTCATCTCGACCCTCCTTTTCTATGCTCAACTCGATCCCCTAGTCGTGCGTGCGAAATGCATAATTACTCCCAACCAGCCATTCGCACCGACACATCCTATCGCCCCAAACCTCGTATATGGACGTATACGATACTATATTCTTCTTCCACCTCTTCAATCCCCCGCCCATCCTTTCATCTTCTCCCCTCACCCAACCAACTTCGCTTTGTCGCATCCGTGTTCGCATTCCGCTCAGAAGATCAAATGGAAAATCCAATACAGCACGACAAACGCTGCCACAATCATGCCGCTCAGCTTGAATATCGCTACTTTATTCCCTGACGCCGCCATGCGCGTCAGTCGACTTGCTGAGCCTTTGAGGGATGTGGCCATGTTGGAGAAGGTTTCGTTCTGTATATTGAAAAAGATATGTCAGTGATTATTCACATTTTGGGATGCGAAGGCGTAGAAGGGAGATGGGCGTGGAGGAAGGCAGGATAGGAGTAGGTGTAGGAATGGGGAACGTACAGTGTTGTCGAGAACATGCTGGTCGCGTGCGCTGTCGTATATATCCACTGTTATACCGCGTAGCGCAGAGACTTTGGATGCGAGTTCATCGAGGCGCGAGTCGTTTTGTTGTTCGCGTTCGTAGGCGGACATTGTGGGCTTATGGGACGGGGAGTGCTCGTGTGCTGGCTGGTCGGGCTGGGTCGGGTTCAAAGTGGTGTTGGACGTTTGTGAGGGTTTCGTCGGGGTTCCTACGGAGGCACGTGGAAGATGGAGGCAAGGTTTAGTTTCAGGCAGACTTGGAGGGAGGGAGGGTTTCGCAGGGGGATGTGGTTTGGATTGAGGGTTTAGCCACAGGACTGGATGCATGAATGAACCAAGATGTGACGTTCGGTGCCAAGAAGACCCTGGACGGTTGGGGTTTAGCGTGCTGAGTGGAGGTCTTTGGCGTCCCCCGCTGAGAGTGAGGGGTAGGTAAATTTAGATGCGTATATCTACTGGGGCTATTTATGCGTTGTGTTTTAGGCCGAGCGGTCAGTTTTGGCAAGGATTGTGTAGAATTTCTTAGAGCCAATCAGCTGAAGGAGGTAATAGAGATTGATTCATGCCGTGTTCTTCTATCTGATCTAGTCCCTATAAGGCGCGCTGTAGCCGAGCCGCAGAGACGCTGGCCACATGCCATTAACGCGCTGGAGTCACGTGAGGGAGTCATTCACTTCCAGCTTTGGGGATGCTGGGGTCTCTTACGGTTTTGGCCTACGCCGGGGCATCTGTATCATCATTGTCATCACCACCGCTGAAATGTCTCTTGGTACGACCTTGAAAGTCAAATTTGGCGATATTGTATCTCAAGAGCATGTCTGGAACATCTTACAGCGTGTTAGATCATTACAGTAGCGTGGAAATGCTTCGCGAACATGCACAGCCCTCCAATTCATTTGCAACCCTTAAGACTATGTAAACGGGTGTAAGTTTCACAAGCTGTCGTCGCGCTTGCTTTCTTGTTTCTCATGCACAGCTAGATTGTCTCAAGGCACCCGATTAGTGTCACATTATTCACAAAGCTCACACTCAAGCTATATCCTACCAGAAATCAGAGTCTCTCACCATTTTAGATATTCCCGGGACGTTCTATTCAGATCTAGACATCTAAATACTGACATTATATTAGAGTCAGGTCTTGCATGGCGTGTAAGCCTGTGTTCACGCTTTGTGAGATCTCGCCGTTCATGAACCCGTAAATGAAGCACTCTCCCAAGATCTCAAAAGTTGGACAACATTCTCCACCAAGCGATGACTTTGCTCTCAGGGTGAGCGGTACGCTGCACCCTCCAATGATTACGATAAGATCGCCTCGGCGAACAGGCCTAGATGCAACCCCGAGATGACCGGTTTTGGTGACGATCAAGCGCCTCGACCAAAAAAATCTCGACATTCGGGCCAGAGCATCGAAGTAACATCTTGAATCGCGTCGACGGACATCCATGTGTTTTAAGTGCCGCTTTAACGGTCTGCCGTTGATGTTGAATTCGGCATTCCGTTTCCACCAGAGATGCATGTGCCACCACAAAGATGCATCCGTGTCTCCTTTGGCGTATTCAAAAGGAAGTGCACAATCAGGATCAAGAATTGTGTCATCCAAGATGCAAGCAAGAGCATCGGAGGCTGGGTAACCCTGGGCATCACGACCGCCGACCAGAGTATACCACAGAGCTTCCGTAAAGGCTTCGTCGTCGCCGTAGGGATTTATATAACATTGCGGGTTCACAAAGTCGGGCTCGTCTTTCTCGTCTTCCCAATAACGCACTCCACTAACGCCATCAATCTCACCAAACACAACCCCTCTTACTAGAAGGGATGTCCCATTAAACTGATAACTCATCGAGAGATTGAGAGATGCTCGATAGCGCTGGTGATAGTTGCTTACCAAGCTTTTGATTGTTTGTTTCAGATCCACGGCCCAGGATGGTATCGTGTCGTCACGTAAATAATGTTCGCCAGATTCACCACACTCAGCCAGGATTTCCAGCTTCCCGGTATGCTCAATCCAAGTTCTTGTGAAGCTTGTGTAGACGTCCGAAATACTAGCTTCGTAATTGACTTGGATCTTTAAAGCCAGGTGTGGTTCGAGCAGCCCTAGAATACCATAAACCCGATCCCAATTGTTGGTACAATTTGCCATGCGACAGCGCGATAACAACCGCCGACTGTGTTTAGAAATGCCTCCTCGTTGGTTATTCTGCAAGGTCTGAAAGTCCTCCACTTGTTTCCAGATGTAGAAGGGCACGTCCCGGTAAGCTTTGTATGCTGCCGGATACAGCTCCAGACTCGCTCGGAAGATCAACGCAAGCTCTGAATCCCCAGTCTGAGTATCGCAAAGACGGAGATCGTGGTACACATTGTACAAAGCCCCCCATGTTGTTGTTTTGTCTCCGCATAAAACCAGACTGTCTTCCCCGCCTGCTGCCATTTCTTGGATGATCCACAGTCGCCCAAAATATGGCCTTGACAACAGACTTGTCATACTCTTCCATAGGCTGAACTCGTGAGAGTTATCGAGAACAGTAGAGAGGTACTGCTTTACAACTTCAGGCCCTTTTTTTGCAGCAGCTGTGATAGCGTTGATGAAGTCGAATGTTTCGTCGCTTTCAGCATCTGACTCTCCTAACCAGATGGCAACATTGCTGGCAGATTTGTATAACTCTGCCATTTTCTTGACCTCGCGACTGCGTTCCGTTGAATCTTCTTGATTGATGCATATCGCGTCAGCCCATATCTTGTAACCTATTTTCACGCACTCGAGTTCTTTCAATGCTTGCAAACACTTTGCGAGATTCTTCCCAACCGAAATTCTTGTACCATTGGCGTAGATTGTCTATCGGTCGCGCGGGTTTCCCCAAGTATAGCTGAGCGCGAGGAACGGCAACTTGCTTTTGTCCATGCCACGTGAAGAGCAGTGTTTGAGCGGATGGTGAGAGAGTTCACAATGCAGATTGTCAGGCTGCAAACGTGGCTGAAAGTGACCAAGATCTGGTGCGAAAACATCACTTTGCAAGATGGTGAGTAATCTTATCTCATCTTTGGTCTGATCCAGTGGTTGATATTCCATGTTGAAGAATGTAATGGGAGTAGGATTGTTGTAAAAAAGTATTGTCTTCAGTATGGAAGAGTAACTCAACTTTGTGATGAATATCGACGTCCAAAAGCCCTTTACCTCAGCCCTGCATATGGCTGCAGCAAGACTGTGTTGTAATTGAGTTGGCATTTTGCGAGTGGCTGCAGCAAAACTGTGTTGTGGTTGTGTTGGCATATCTGTAAACCACTAACGTGACACAGATGGTTCACCGGTAGAGTGTTATGGCGCTGCCATTGCCAGGGCTTACTTACCCCGTTTGGGTGTAGCGCCTTGGGTGGGATTCTGTACTTAGCCTCACCTCCTACAGTTCCAAGATAGTAACACTTGTACCATACTGTTTTGATACCCTGTCCCTTTTGGTGGCCGTCCCGGCCGTGACATAGAGGTGCACAGCACCAGAATGGCAAAAGCCAGCCTGTTTGTATTAGTACTGTTCAGCGAACTTCAGGGGTCTCTAGGCTGGCAAATTGGCAGAGACAAGAGTGGGGCAGGATTTGCCAACACAGAGGTAGGGGTCAAGGAGAGGATGCTCAGCCTTGGGTATGCATGGGGTAACGAGGCTGGGAGGTTGGCGATTGGGCAGTTAAACGCGAGATTTTTGCCACGGAGGAAAAAGAGGAAGTGTGTTTAAAGCTCTGTATCGACGACGATTAAAGCACCAAAGGATATTAGTTGCAGAACATATAGCGTTGGCATTCGACGGTTCAAGCGTGTTTAATGGGTTGCGTCATTGTGGTAAGCGCTTTTCAGCCCAATAATGGATGTACATGGTGAGGCTCGACAGCCTTGTGATATCGATATCAAGGCTAAGAGAGGCTCTGGTGCAGGTGGCTTGGCGGAAAGGGTGAGCGGCGAGTAGAGTGTTTTGATGAACTCAAGGGCGCACGGCTGAGGCAGCTGCTACTAGGCACGGCTTCCCTTTCTGGCTCTCCAGCGTCTCAACCTTGAGCTTTTTTTATTCCGCTTTCTGAGCTGTAGGGTAAGAAAAATAGGTAATATAGGGGTTGGTGCGTAGCCATAGCTCGCCATCTTTGCTGTCACCTTTGATTTTATTTTCATTGTATGCGTTATGCATGCTCAGCATCTACAACTAGGCCTTAACTACACCCCGTATGATTGATTGTGCTACTGCAAAGCTGTAAAAGTCACCACGATTACTTCTGTTGACACTGATGCCAGGACTGCCGTTTGTTTGTGGATGTGGACGTGAATCAAAGCAGGCAGGTGGAGCAGACCACCGCATTGCGCTTACCACAACCAGCATAGTGTTACAAGTAACAAGAAAAATTCTCTTCTTAATAAATAACGAGACAGCTAAAGGCCTATAGACGCCTATATTAGAAGTTAATAATTATTATAGAGCTTAGAGTTACGTAATATATTATCTTAACGTGTTCCACCAGTAAGCGGCCCACCCCAGTAAGTGGTCCACCCCACCAAACCTGACACGACTCTCCACACAATCACCACAATGCCGCGAC